AACCTAAGGGTATTCCGAACCATGGTGCCCATGCTCAAACTGTAATGGAATAACCTATGAAATAACTAATAACTAATAACTAATAACGGGTAATAACTAAGGAAATGACATAACGGCCCAGGGAGGAAAGATATCACCCAGTTCCATTGTTATCAATACTAACTAGTAAGTGAATTTTGTGTCTAAGAGCCAATAAAAATCTGTTCATCTCCGAGTGTTTTAACATCATGAAGATTTTGTTTATTTAAAGTTAAGTTACAGATGACAGATTAAGTAATGTTCAGAAAATACAGGTTTTTAGATATAATACAATCTTCATTTCTTAAGAAACCGAACGGAGACTTAAAAATCTTCAAATTAATATAAAGACGAAAGGAAGGTAAATACAAAAAAAAATAAATTGGAAACCTTTATGCATGGAACATTAAATATGCTTTCACGGTATGTGATTTTTGTATGTTAATGTATGTTATTGACTAAATCATTCATTAAATATTCATTCCAATTTTGAATAAACCGTAGTAACGTTAGAAGTAGCTCACCCTGTCATAAAGATTTGCACCAAAGGTGCTGAATAAGCCGACAAAATGGATTATAACTCTCATAGATTCTTGCACCAATGGTGCAATGTAAACGGAAAAATATTTTTTTAAATCCGGAAGTAGTTTGCACCACTAGTGCAACATTTGCAACCAACGGGATGCATAATTTTGAAGACTTTGAAAAAACTGAATGGCTCTTTCTCCCGCAATTCTGCATCATTGGTGGTTAGGGCATCCTTTCCCCAATTATTTATTATAAAATTTATATATTTTAGCGTCAATAGCGTCGAGTAATCGAACAAATAGAACAGAATTCTGACATGAGTTTTGGGGGGAAATAGATGGCCCAATTGTTACGCATCATTGATTTTTGGGGGGAAAAAGATGGCCCAATTGTTACGCATCATTGATTTTTGGGGGGAAAAAGATGGCCCAATTGTTACGCATCATTTTTAATAACCAATTGCTCGGTACTAACGGTGCTACTTATTCCAAAGTTATCGTCCTATCTCTATCTATTTTCTGAGTTAACTTGCACCATTTGCGTCAACGATTGTTTGATACTAATGGTGCTCCTCAGTCCCATACTAATGGAGTAGGGACTTATTAATTAGCATCAATTGATGCAAAAAGGTCGTTAACATACAGACGGACGGACGGACGGACAAGAGGAATTCAATAGCTCCCGTGCTACGCAGGGTGAGCTAATAATCTGATTCTTTGAATATCGAGTGAATATCTATTCAATTCGTGTGAATGAATAATTTTCTGATCAATCTATGAAAAATGATCTGTTTCATCGTTTGGTTTCATTTAATTCGAGAAGTGGCTGACAACCACACTCACAGGGGGTGTGGTTTTTAAAGGTTGAATTACACCACTGCAATATCCTTGAGTTGCTGGGAAAATTGATATGTCGCATGACCCTGGTTACGCTGATTGGCCGAATGCTAACAACCCCACCCACAGGGGGTGTGACCTCCAAAATTTTAGCGATACCACTGAAATCCCCTTGACGTGCTGAGAAAATTGATATGCCGCATGACCAGGTTTAAGTCGATTCACTGGATAGTGACGGCCACACCCACAGGGGGTGTGGTTTACTAAATTTTAACTACACCACAGAAATCCCCTTGGCGAGCTGAGAAAATTGATATGTCACATGACCAGGTTTAAATTTATCCCTTGGATACCGATAGCCACACCCACAGGGGTGTGGCATATTTAAATTTGAAATACGCCACTGAAATCTCCTTACCCGCCTGAGAAAAATGATATGTCGCATGGCGTGCATTGGTAAGGTATTGGCAGAAGCGCCGATAACCACACCCCCTGTCGCCATGGGGTCTACGACAATGGAATGTCGTTCACATAGGGGGCCTTGGTAAGATTACATGTATTGGCGACGTTGAATTTCGGAAACTACGGTGGGGGAAATTTTTTTACTAAATTAAGTGTGTTGATTTGACATTTGACCACCCCCACAATCACTCCAAAGCAGGGGGTGCGGCCTACTAGTCGCTGAATATGATGACCTGACTGTTGCCGCCAAGAATTTACTCCCAGGTCCGTCGAATCCAGTTGTAGAATTTTCAAATTCGATGAAGAAGTGTTACTTGTTTTTTGACCTTGTGACCTAGATCTCGAGGGGGTGGGGCCGAATTTGAAAAATCTGAAAATACATATTTTTCCCAAGGCTCCAAGGTTTCCAAAATGGGCGCCATCTTGAAAATCCATCAACAACTGACCGTGCAATTAATTTCGAAACTTTACATGTTGTTACTTATGGAGAGGTCGGCCATTTAGCCTCCCGAGAAACCCAACCATTCCCTTGCTCAGTACTTTCTGGATTTTTGATAGAACAATACATATAACTAAGGGGAGAAACAAGACATATGTATAAGTTAATAGCCAATTATTTTTGCTTGTCTAAAATTTGTTCAACTGACAATGGAACGGTTTGTCAAGCTATCTTTATACACCCGAATTGTCTAACGAGTTACCAGGGTTGGCCAAGGTACTTTGTTTCAAAGATACAAGATGCAGGATACAAAATATTGTAACGAAACATTAAGATACAAGATATAACTTGTATCTTGTATCTGATATCTTGTATCTTGTTAAATTATCTTGGCCAACCCTGCGAGTTACATATAACCAACATCATTGTTAGTCATTGTATTCACGAGATACGGATCTAGCAGACAAGCAGGCGGACGATTTAAAAAAGTGTGTCCCTACTGCATAAAGTGATTGACAAGTTAGTTATTAAAAGATTGTCATGGTTATGAGTTAATAAACCGTGGTAAACGAAATGTAGCAAGGGGGTGAAAACATACGGAATTGTCTTTATGGCACGCCCACAACGTTTTTCAGCACTTCCTCGCCATTGTCCTACATCACCCCACGTCTCGTTTTGCCCCGTTTTGACACCCCACTCGAACATACACGACAATGCCTTTCAATAGACACCCCACATAACAAATGACATGTTTTAGACATTCGACATCATCCACACGGTCATGGGGTCGTCGTTCGTCGAAATGATCGTGACTTCTTTAATCCCCGCCAAAAAATGGAGGAAACAAAGAATTAGACCACTTTGACCCTTGGCGTCATCAGCGTGGCGCCTTATGACCTACAACGCCCTTCTTCGAACTCATCCGTACTTTAAAAAATAGAAACACGTTGGCAAAAACCGCATGTCGAAATTCGAATCGGTTCTAAAGTTATCGTAGACACAGACAGACAGACGGACAGACAAGACATTTCCATAAAGGGGTTTTCACCCCTTAGTAATGGAGTTAATTGAGTATGTTACATAAGCTGCGTGACGCATTTACACCCGTATGAATATTAGTGGGTCAGCAGTTAAGCGGAATGTGTAATAATCAATCCATTATAATGGATTGTCTGAATTAACTGAATTCTGGACTTGGTTGCGTTATCGTGTAACTGATATAATGCATTATATCAATTACACGATTACGCAACCAAGTCCAGAATTCAGTTAATTTTGGGATGTTATACAACACTTGAGTGTAAATAGGTACCATTGTGATTTTCCTACGTATGTAGCTTTAACCGTTTTACCGGTCACCGTTTTAACGTTTTCAGTTTGAAAACGAAAAAATATAGGTGGGCTTATTTTTCAGCTTGAACAGCTTAAAATTAGTGCATATAAATATGTTGACACTAATGATTACTATGGTTACGCATGTAAGTTTTTTATTGACAACCCAAATCCATACAGGGTGGTTAAAATGTCAGGTTACAATGGAAAATTTTTCCATGGGAAAAATTCGTAAATATCCATTAGTTACTGATTTGGGATTGAGATTTTTATTAATTTTTATCAAAACCTATTGAATACTGATGACAAAATTCTTAAAATATTGAATTTCAGAGGCAGATGTTCGGTAACTAATGGAGGTTTGTGGATTTTTTCCCATTGACAAATTTTCCATTGTAACCTGACATTTAAACCACCCTGTATGTATATAAGGATGTATTTAAATTTAAATTTAAACTAACCCATTAATCTGTAACGAAGACAGCCGTTTTATACGAAATGGTTTAACTCGAGAGTAAGATAACAGTCGTCCCAAAAAATCGTTGTCATGTCGGTAAACAAGTAAAACAATTGTTGTTTCTTGGAGGTCATGAATTTTCACCCCTTTTCCTTCTCTGCTGCCTGGAATTTGTTGCAATTTTGAGAGATTTCACCTATCCCAAAACAATGCTAAATTTGAACCTTCTGCTACCGCAAATTTGGACATTTCACAATATAACGAAATGCTAAATTTTTGAGCTTTCAGTGTTTCGAGTTTTATTAAAACTCCTGAATTCCTTCTAACTACAAGATACTTTTAGCACCCCACTTTCTGTGAAGAAAAGTTGTTGCTGTTTTATATCGAAAGAATCAACAAATTCGCAACCACCCGAAACCAATTCGCCAACTTATGACCATCGATGGTCATGGGACATTAAATAGTTGATGGATCAAATTATATTTCAGGATTATGTACGAAACACCCAATATGTGCTACGAGGCATTGGATATTCGATAAGATAAGCAACCCATGTACATAATACCTAAATACTTAATCCATAAGCCTCCCCAAAAAATAAACCGCATTCCAGCCTCAGTTATAAAACAAGGTGGTACATTTATGAATTGAAGCATAACTCATCCCATCGATAAGCTCACCTTCACGCGAGCTTTGTCGAGGTGACAATGCACATTTTATACAAACCTCACCTCGTCCTCTATCTCAACCATTTCACTATCACCTTTACAAAAACCGATGATACTGAAACCCACATTCAACAAGTATCTAATGAGACCATGGCCCTCTCGAGATTCAATCCTTATCTGAAATTCCACCCATCACCCCGCGTTGGGATTTTCCCATAAAAAATCCTTGTTCTCCGCAAATCGACACAATTCCGTCTCCTCCAGCGCCCCGTCGCCATGTCCAAATTCCTCCTTTTCCTCGCCCTCTTCGCCGCAACGGCCGCGCATGCAGCGTCCTCCTCCAAAATTGAGCCTCGTCTAGCGGCCACTCTCGCCTACTCGTCATCCCCGGCCAGCGTTCTCGTCTCCTTTCCAGGAACGACGGGGCCAGTCCTGGTCTTCTTTGAGAAGACCGCTTTCACCAGCCGAGGTGCCAAAGCGACCGCGATTGCCACCGAGCTTCGCGCCAATTCTTCCCAAGCTCAATCCGAAGCTCGCGCCCTGCTCGATTCTGCCTCCATTTAATACGAAGTCTTCTGGATCACGAATCAAATCTACGTTCGTAACGCGGATGCCGTCCTCGTCTCCAAATTGGCCGGACTGCCTTCCGTGTCCGAAATTTCGCAAGAGTTTCAAGTCTCCTTCATCCCGCATCACAATGAAGGACTAAACCCTGCCCGAAAAGCAGGTACTTCATGATTACATCTGATGGCTCGCAACTAATTATAATTTTCAACCAGTTTCAAATTTTTGACGACAAACATGAAAAATCTACACTCTTAACGTTTGTATTTTTCAATTAGACCTTTTTCTTAATAAGAAATGCGTAAAAAACTGTCTAATTTTAAAATACAAACCATAATAATCCGGTAAAGTCACGCAGGTAATGATTTCGTCGTAATAAATTTGGTGATAATATTTTACCAGGTAGTAAAAATCCGTTACCATCATGGTAAAACTTTATTACCAAGCCACTACCATACGGTACAACTTATTCTTACCACTTTGTTAGAGTCAAATACCAGTGCCTTTCGGCAGTGTTTATCACCAGATTATTTACAACGTACTTTTTAACATTGGTCGGTCGTTATAGGGATCCTCGCCGAGTGGGGAATTGAACACATCGAGGCCCCCGCCGCCTGGGCCCTTCCCGGGGGAAATAACGGCACTGGCGTCATCGTGGCCAATATCGATACTGGCGTCCACGCCACACACATCGACCTTGCGGACAATTTCGTTGGAACAAATTACGGCTGGAGGGACGTTACCCTGTTCGGTTCGGAGACCCCGAGAGACGACAATGGTCACGGGACTCACACCATGGGCACGATCGTGGGCGCGAACGGAATCGGGGTCACGCCCGGAGCGAGATGGATGGCTTGCAAGGCGCTGAACGCACAAGGGAGCGGAACCAACGCGGGACTTATCAGTTGCGGACAGTGGGTGGCGTGCCCAACCCTGCCGAACGGGGGCAGCCCCGACTGCACCAGAATTCCGCACGTCGTGTCCAACTCTTGGGGTGGCGGTCAAGCTAACGATGAAGTCATCAACACGTGGCACGCGATGGGCATCGTCCCAGTCTTTGCCAACGGTAAGGAAATTGCTCAACTAATTTAAGGCCGATTTAACGCATCGTACGGATGACATTTAATTCAGGGTTCAGCGGTCCCCTTCTCCACGTGCAAAACTGCACAGGATAAAACTACATGCTAAATACATAGAATAATGTCATGAATGTTAATATTTTCAAAAATAGACAAGTTGAAAAGTACGTAATTTACTTTTCAAAAGTTGGATTTATGTATCTATTTACAAACCTACATAAATTTCGATTTACTATGTTTTCTGGTATTTCTGATTAGCATGCCCTCCTTGAATTTCATGTGGAAATATTTATCCATGAGAATCCCTTACTCTGTTTGAGCTTTATTCTCTATAATGTTGGTTGCAATCGAAAATTTCGTATTTCTCTTGGTTAAACCTAGTTCATAATATTCTCTTGTTTCTTCTTCAATAGGATGGGATGTCCTCCAGTATATGATTGCATGTTTCTCAACTAATGGTGCCCCTTCAGTTGTTAGTAAATATGTAGCTTTACAATATGATTATTTTTGTCTCATTAATAGGAAACTCGGGACCCGCATGCACTACGACTTGGTCACCTGCTGACAGTTTGGCTTGGGTGAGGGCACCGAGATTAATCATATTTTATATTTGCCACGGAAGGATTTGTTCTAATTTTCTTATAAAGGTGATTGCTGTAGGCGCTACCATTGATACCAACGGGTTGTTATCGTTCTCGAAGGGACCCACCATTGGAGGTCGACCCAAGCCAGATATCTCAGGTGAGTCATTTCTTTTCAAGGGTAACGATCCGATCCATATTACCACGGAAATCTTAAAACGAGTAAATATTAAACTTAGCTCCTGGCCAGAACATCCGTTCAGCGTGGAACTCCCCGGGCAACAATGCATAGTGAGTCACCCAGGAAATAGAATATTCCATAAATTCAGTTACTAATTTATTTAATTCTGCTAGCGACACCATTTCCGGAACGTCCAATGCTGCTCCGCATGTACATAAGTTGTATTTTCCATTATTTCCTTTAAATTTGATTTTACCAGTGCTAACTGAAAATTTAATGCCAAGGTCGCCGGAGTTGCTGCCCTTCTCAAGGCCCACAACGCATCCCTGACTTGGGAGCAGATTAATGCCAACATGAACGGCAACGCCAACACGGAAAATGTGGTCCCCACCGGACAAAACTGCGGAGGCATTGGCGAGAGTATCTTCCCCGACATGGCGTTCGGAAGTGGCATCGTCAAACCGAGAGTGTCCCTTGCTGCCGCCATTGCTGGAAAATAGATGTTAATTAGTCATAATTTGGAACATGAGTAGTCAGTGGCTACTAAAATTTAATACAATTCGAAAATAAATTAAAAGAACTATTTCTCTCCGATAATTCAATGTCTGTTTTGTTCGGACACTCTAAGTAAAAATAACTAAAATTTATTCAAATTTGAGTAAAAAAAATGGGATGAAACGACTATTAATCCCACGCGGTGCAAATTTTGACTAAAGGTTGAGTAAATTTCACAAAAATTTGACAAATTTTACCCTTTGGTAATGTCATCCTCTTTTGTACGAAACACCTTGAGTAAATTTTGGTTATTTTTATTTGAAGTGTATGTAGATATTTCCATCGTTACTTTTCATGCCACAAAAAAAACATTCCGCTGCAATGGAGTGGCATGAAATGTGACACTCACAAAAATGGCTTAAAATTCCGAACTTGTGTGTACAAAAAAGAATCTGAAATAATATTAGGGGGCGCATGGTCAGTTTTCGTGATACGAACCAAAGCGTGCGATTTTTTTTTAATTTTGAGTTCCTTAGAAATACAAATTGAAGGGTATGATCACATTACCACCTACGATGTACCGAAGGTTCTTAAAAAATCCGAATCCGAGGTCGAAATCGTCATGATTCACATTCCAAGTTAATCTTGGGGGGCATGCTACATATATTTTAATTTTCTTTCAGTAATTACATTGATCAATCAATATGGTTTTATTATTTTCCAAATATTTTACTATTTTCAAGGACATGTAGACTTTACCCTAAATACATCATACAACTTATTAATTTCACCCATTTTAAATAAACCCTGTTCCTTCGTTCCGGGAGCCTTAAATGTAGCACAAGTAATTCCGGGCAGTAGTAACCGGCATGCCGACGGCAAGTCTGTTGTTGCTTTTTATCAAGGTGACCCCGATACTTTGATAATTGTACAAACCCAAACCCGGCACACTGACGGGTGCGGAACCCTGGTTCCATCTCAACCTAGACAAAGACGTAACCGTCCGTCCAAATATGATCTAGAAACGGGTAAATAAGAAGTAATTACATATAATAAAATGGTTATGGGAAGGTTCATGTATTGCGTCTTAAAAATGCGATGGTGTGAAGTGTAACCCTCCGATTTGGTTGAAATTTTGAAATCGTGTGGGCCAAGTCAATACAACCAACATTTCTTCAGACAGTTTGTGCGATGGTCAGAATTTTTCAAAATATTTGAGGTTAAAGTTGAAAAATGTGCGACTTTTACCAAGCGGGGAAAGCAAACTCAACCAAAATTCTCCCCCACTGCTAAAAATCGCATATTTTTCAACTTTATCTTTAAATATTATTTTCATTATTTTTTAAACTGCCTGAAGAAACGTTGGTTGTATTGACATGGACCACATAATTTCAAAATTTCAACCAAATCGGAGGGTTTCACTTAACATCATCGCATTGTTAAAAAAGTCGGTGGGTCGCACGGGTTCGAATTCTAGGAAATTTGAAGAATTTTTTCTGAAAGTTTAAAAGTATGCAGGCATTTTCGAATATTTTGAAGTAAAAATACCCATCATTTCTTTCACAAATTTGGAACGTTTCCCTGAATTTTCGAACATTTCGGAATAATTTTCAGGATTTTCTTCCCCCTTTTCCGGGAGTAAAGCATCTGTAAATCGAACCCACAATGGGTCTTATGACTTGATAACCTCACCCGTTTTGAAGCGGGTTGCAAATGCGAAAGAGTGGCTGAATGGTTTAAAACTTTCCGCTTTTTATGACGTAATACATGCACGTTCCTTATTTAACCTTCATAAAATAATTGCGCACGGAAATATTATTATCCTAACAAACATACCATTACCCGTCGTTCGTTCATTAATGAAGGAAATTTCCGTCACGGAATCCACCCGCAGAAGCTCCATCCCCATCGCAAATTTTATATGTACATATTAACACTAATTCACAATTAATAAAATTTATGGGCCCTCATTTACATAAATTATATTATAAAATTTATGGGCCCTCATTTACATAAATTATATTATAAAATTTATGCCTTTGAATAAATTATTTATGAACTTCTCACAGGAATTGCTTCTTAGTATATTCGTTTCCCGCTAACCGTCCCCAGAAATGTCATCATTGGATGAATTTCTAAAATTTCTTGAGACAATGGTCCAAAATCTAGAAAAAAAACATTTTACTAATACTGCCCGTATACATACATAGTTTCGCCAACGTTTTTGATATTCTTACCCTCGCCCCGTGGTTCGTGGATTGTCCCGTTTGGCGCAGGAGAGAAGCACTAAGCTCCCGAAAAGTAGAAATTTCAGCATTTTAATGGATTTGTATTTTTATCTTGCTTCAGACGCTGGTAGCAAGCTTATGCCTTTTGTGGCACGGTACGCCGCCTTAAATACGCTCCCAAACTTTCAAGTGGTCCAACGCTAAATTGCATTTCCGTAAATATGTAAATTAGACAAGAATTTGAGGTTGAATTAAAGCAAATTGATTCGCGTCATTCCATCTGACGTATGTAGATTATTCATTACAAGTGTCAAAGTGAATCAATTACTTTGAGTAATGAGATCCATCACCTGATAAAATCTGTCCAAATTCAATGAAAACTAGGACACGTCAAATGCCTGCAGCGATCTCCCCACATCAAGTGGTTTGTTTATGTAGCCCAGTCATGTTGTTGATTATCTTCAAAAGATTAGTGATTCACATACCTAATTTAATTATCCACAATTCCGTTAATTTACCTGAGTAATCCATGGCAATGTGTTTTCGCGGAATATTTCGATATTTTATCAGGCAATTTGTTTACTAATGAATTCGAGATGCGCATCACTTAATATCCACAATTCGAATAATTAAGCAGGCGGCGACTTTTCGTTGAAATGCTTTACACTTTATCAGTCAGGTGATCAGGCGTGTCGTCAATCAAATTAATTAATCAGGCATGTCATTCTTTATTAATCTAACATAATGAATGTATCATCTGAGAATCAATTACGCTAGAAATATTCTCACACGCTAATAAATTATGCAAGAAAAACATTTTAATTTAATTTCCGAGACGTGAGGTATCTGAATTAAATATGAAAAGTACCCAGATATTATAGTGAACCAACCCTTCATAATTTCGGCAAGTACAAAATCTTGATTTATTCCGAAGTAATCAACGAATTCGCTGATTCTAGGATGGTACAACTCAACAAGCAACGAAATACAGTTGTGAAGAATGAATTGCAAAATTAAAGTTTTTTTTACAAATTCATTGATGACTTAGAGCGAATTATTTAGGTAAATAAAACTGGCTTGCGGATCTTCATTTCGACCTTGCTTAAGGAATAGTTATTACCCTTCTAGCGATTCCAGGTCAATCCTAACCCTTCCTATCCAAATCTTTCCACGGTGCTCGAATTATTATATACCGAGTTCAGGTCGGCCTGCAAGGAGTAACAAACCGATTGGTGAAGCAATTCTAGTTTGTAGCTTGATATTTATTCATTACCGTGAGCCCTCCATACGTAATCTCGGTGAGGACAACAGTGTGCTACCAAAGGAAATTTTTACGTGTAAAATAAAATATTCATTTATACTAGTTACAATTATTTTATATTAAGCAGTGTAAATACCGTAAAACCTCTATTTATAGCCCTATTCTAATTATAGCCGGTCCCTAAATATAGCCGAGTCTAGAGACCAAGATTTCAAAATTTTAGCCGGGTCTCTAACTATAGCCGGGTCCGTCTTATCGTCTTTGTCCCGTTCATAGGTCATCCATAAAAATTCTTGTATATCCATGAATTAGGTCAAAATTGACAAAACTTTTAATTTCATTTGACCGAGAATACATTTAATCATGACAAAAAGTGATTTTATAATATTCCAAACTTATCGCGGGACAAAATTTAGCCGGGTCTCTAATTATAGCCTAGACTGTGACACCCAGTTTTTGATTTTAGCCCCGTCCATAAATAGAGTATTTATAGTACATATGAAAATGCAAGTATGTACATATGCCAAGGTATATAAGGTTACGGCTTGTATTTATTATAAACAATATCAACAAAATCAAGTTTTCCCAAACAAACATTACACAAGCTTTACGGATTTTAACTAATAGTAACTTGAACTAAGGTAGAATTTAGATACATATTCAGCATTTAGTCATTTATAAATATATGTACGTCAAACACAAATGAAAAATATTTGTACTCCACACCCTGAATAAAGTCTTGAACTATGTATGAAAATAATAATAATCGATATTCAAAAAAAAACAAAAGTTTATCTATTCGTTTTCACATGTACAAATGTATGAAACTTCGACAGGTTATCCCATTCGACGTCATGAAATCCTTCATAGTTTCTCTTGTATTTTTGGTGAGCTTTAAAACAGATAATGAAGCATTGCACATTTGATCAACTGTTTTCAATCATTTTCGATCAATCATTTTCACGAACTACTCAATGTTCCAGTGCATTCGGGTTTATACATAACTTTGTATTTTTGTGTCTCAACTTTCCCTGCTTCCATGTACATATGTATCTATTCAAATACCGATTTTGAAATATGTTCATCTCCTTACGTTTTTAAGACATTGAGAGGTTAGAATTTTCAATTTTTTCTTCTCTCCGGAAATATTTAATTTTTATGTTTAAGTATTTTGCATATTTCTATTTTCTTATGAAGGAAGTACACAAATTAAAAGCATGACTCCCAAATTTTGTGAACCTAAACTAATCGATTTTTACATCCTCATCTTGTAAAAAACCAAGGAGACGAGGCGACAAGGTTTCGAAATTTGAAACAAGGAAAGTTGAGACACAAAAGAAGTAAAATTTAAATGAACCATACACCAAGTCAACTGCGGTGTGGAACTACTAGCTTGGTAGGTCCTCTCCCAACGACTTTTGCTCAATATGGTTACTCAAGAGCTATTGCATTGCAATGATTGCAAGCTCATCCTAAACGTAAACAACGTAACCTTTAGTGATCGTTTTGTAATTCTAAATCTAACGGTAAAATTAGTTAGTTAATTTCTAATTAGTCAAAATTTGGCTCAACTTGATTTTTATCGCCGTCACCTTTCACCGAAACAATATATGCCTTTTTATATCGCTACTTGGCGTTTTATCTAACAATAAGATAAAATTGTAGTATCTCTTCTTATCAGCTTAATCGATGTATTTTTATACATTTTAGTTCATTTTAAAGCACTTTTGTGCACATATATGCACCATGAACATATTCATAATAGTTTGATGAGCAAAAAAAGCAGCACTATTCTTGAGTAACCCTTGAGTAAAAGTAGTTCGGGGAAGGAGTGTCGTGGTTGGAGTTCTACACCGTCATTACAACCATATGCTTTTTTTGATCAAAATATTACTTTAAAATATTTTTTAATATTTTGGTAAAGTAAAAACGCGAAATTTTCCGATTTTACAAAACAAGAGTGAAATCCGTTTGACTAAACATGTGTTTGCTCCATTCATTTAGAACAGAATTTGGAGCAAACAAGCGACTTGTCAAACAGAAAAATTTCGTGTTTTTACTTTTGTCAAAATATTAAATATTATTTTAAAGTAATATTTTTATCATAAAAAGCAGGTATCATTTTTTGGCCGATTTTTGGAAACATGATTTTACTGCCCCCTTTTTGGCCGTTCAAGACCAGCCAAGTGAGGAAGCCTGATTGCAACTTACACAAAGATTTGAAACATAGACGGAATCCATTCCAGCCATCGCCACATGCAGTTGTTTCCACAGATCGAGCTCGTCCTGGGTAAAGTCACGGTGTGGAAAATTTCCACCACACGTGGCCACATAAATCGTTTTCAGCCCTGAAATTCAGACGGACGACATAAAGAAAATCAATTGCATTTGTTTCGCACAAAGCTCTGAATATGCATAAAAGATACATGATTTCAGACAAACATTGGAACATGGGAAACATTGGAACATTGGAAACATTGGAACATTGGAACATTGGAACATTGGAAACATTGGAACATTGGAAACATTCGAACATTCGAACAAAATATTGTACAACTCTATACCCACTTCCGCCAAGGGGATTATTAGGGAAAAATGATAACTTTTCGAAAGTCTGTAAATACAGAACTGTAAACAAACCAATTCTAAACCCGTTTTCCCGCGAAAAAATTATATTTAACGGGATAAAATGATAACTTTGTCCAGCGGTAAGTGTCATAGATAAGTATGAAGTATATTTTCACCCTTGGGTAAACGCGTCATAAAGGTTTGTTATATTTGTTTCTGCAGTTATTAGCTAGCGCAGGTATTGCATTCGTCCAATCTATGTGTCTATAATTGATGCTAATTACATACATAAATAGGAACAGCTTTATCATTGAATAATTTATAAAAGCTGGAAATGTTTGTCTGCAACGGAAGTGAAATTAATTTTCCGAAACGGAAGTAAAACTGGAGAAAATTAAGTTTCGCAAGGTGCCTAAATTCAAAAATCGAAATTTAAAAAAGTAAATATGAGAAGATCATGGTGTCACTGGATCATGTGCCCCATGGTGTTATCGGAATATTGCGTCCTGATTCTGATTATTACTTGCCTGAGCAATATTCGCTACAAATTCACTTCCGTTAGCATCAGTGAGTTTTAGCGAATAAATAATACAAAAATATTGAGTGGTATTTTAAAATCGAAATCCACTCTCGCCCGGCGGGAGACGGGCTTGTACGCTAGTAATTTATGGCGTAGATCTCCCAGCGTAGGGTCACAGATTTTAACCAAATTAGTGTGAATAACAAATTTAATTAATATGTATGAAATAATTAAATTAAACAATCTATTCGTGCGAAAAATTAGAAATTTTAACCCTTCTTTCATGCAACAATTATAAAAAAAATAAATATGAATATCTTTTACTCACACGCATACAACTCCCTGCCTTCCAATAGTGCTTGAATAATTGTTCCCACTTCCTGGTCACATGTTGGCAGGCTCAACCACAAATCTTTTAACCATAGATGCGCCGACACTCAGGAGGATAACCCTTCACCGACAGAATGACCGATCTTGATGCCCTTTGGATATATTGTAGTCCTAGGTGAGTCTAGCAAAAGTGAAGAAGGATTTCATTCCATGGCCCCATTTGCGCCCGCCACACCCACTCAAAGGTGCAAAAATACCCTGTTTTGGTTCATTAAAAAAACCACCAAAAATTCAATTTTGGTTGGATTTTCACAATTTAAGCATTTTTGTGACCTTAGATAGTTGCTTTATCATATCCAATAGCAAACTCAACTTTTTCGAAATTTTGATTTTTTCGAAATCCACGAAATTTTCGAAAATACTCAAAAAATTCAAAAAATTGAAATTCATGTCGGATACGATAAAACAACTATCTGGGATCAAAAAGGTGCAAAAATTATCAAATTATCATTAAAAATGGATTTTTGGTGAATTTTTTAATGCGACCAGTTTGGCATGGGATTCCTCTTTGAAACGTGGGTGTGGCGGGCGCAAATGGGGCCATGGAATGAAATCCTTCTTCACTTTTGCTAGACTCACCTAGGACTACAACATATCCAAAGGGCATCAAGATCGGTCATTCTGTCGGTGAAGGGTTGTCCTCCTCAGTGTCGGACACTGGGTGTCGTCCACAGTGTCAGTGTCAAGAATTTTTTTGAGTGTCAGTGGACACTGTGTCAGTGTCACTCATTGTGGTCGAGTGTCAGTGGACACTGTGTCAGTGTCACTCATTGTGGTCGAGTGTCAGTGGACACAGTGTCAGTGTCACTTATTGTGGTCGAGTGTCTGTGGACACAGTGTCGGTGTCAGTGGACAAAGTGTCAGTGCCACTGATTGTGTCCGAGTCACAGGACACAGTGTCCATATATATGGGTGTCCGACACTGGGTGTCGTCCACAGTGTCAGTGTCAGCCACTGACACTGAGTGTCAGTGGACACAGTGTCAGTGTCGCTCACTGTGGCCGAGTGTCAGTGGACAAAGTGTCAGTGCCACCGACTTTGTCCGAGTGTCGGTGGACAAAGTGTCAGTGCCACCGACTTTGTCCGAGTGTCGGTGGACAAAGTGTCAGTGTCTCGCTCAAACGCGCATCTATGCTTTTAACCTCCTCCAGCCTGAACAGGTTGTGAGCACCCCGCCCAAATCCACCCCAACTCGATTCAACACGGGTTGAATCGTGCCACAGGTGAACCGACGGCGATGGCACGTGCTCCTGCACCAAAGAATTTCCACGCTCAATTTCTCCACGCTCGGAAACGCGTTCGTCAGTCGATCCAATACTTTAGGATCATGCACCCCGCTCAGCTCCAGAAACCGCACACTTGCCAAAACTGTATTCCCATTGCAAATAGTCTGCAAAATTGTGTCCAAGCTTCTCAATCTTGTAATTATTTTTCCCATAACCAGCGTCTCCAGGGCTGGCATGGCTTCGATATTTTGAAAAAGCTCGTCACACTGAATAATTTCGGTTATCGGGTTTTCAAATTCTTGCAATTTTGACATCCTTCTTGGCAACCGGAAGCCCATTATGTTTAACTCGTTCTCATCATAGCTCCCACCTCTTATTCTTAACTTGAAGAAATTCGAAAACTTCAACGTGACAAGTTGGTCCCCCACTTGGCGGATCATCCGCGAAAGTTCAGCACCGATGTCGGCGCGATTGATGTGATTGACTCGAAGCCAACACATATTGATCGTTAAGGAGGTGAGAGACTTGGAATTTGCGAAATCTGGAAATACGCCCCACGGCAGAGCGATCTGCTTCAAATTCTGTGACGCGTTGACTACCAGATGAATCAAATTGGTGAAAAAGGGGGTCACTTGTTGATGCCAGAAAACAAAACTGGTCAAAGTCGGTCTTGGATTTAGCGCTGCGGACAGAACGGGTCGCTCCGTTGTGAAATCGTCCTCCCGATCCCTGAAAAGCATCCGCTTGGTCCAAAAAATCAGCAACTTTTTCAAATTCGGACATAAATTTTGACGCAAAACGTGATGAATTGATGTTACAGTGATTTCGTGAGCGACGTCAACCTTCAAAATTTGGATATTAGTATTAAATAATTCGCAAAGCCGGCTCAAGTTGGGGGTTACGGGGTCACTCTTCTCATGGCTTCTTCGGTTAGCTGGATTGAAACTCGTCTTAACGTTAACCCATTTTGCAAGTCGGCCATCAAATGTGGAGCACCTTTCGAAAAAATTGTCACCCATTTCATCAATTTTATGAAATTTTAAGGCGAGTGTTGTATTTTTAAGGGTGAGGACCATTTCATTCCAAAGTTTGCAAACTAATCGACACCTCGTCAACTTGATGGAACTCTGTTTTAGTATTTTAGTCAAAATCTGAAAGTGAAATATTGGCTTTAACTTCAAATTTCTCAGAGTTTTTCACTTAACACCATCGCATTGTGAGAACAAAAATTGCAAACGATTTATCCAGCTTACGATCGGATTATTCAGTGCCAATAGTTCCACAGGTATTTCATGAGATTCTTCCATCTTTCCTTACGAAACTAGTCGGTTGCTGTCAAAATTTTCCTATATATTTTTAAATCTCCAGTAGTTATTTAGTTCAAGGAGCCATGTATTTCATTATGGTGTGAAGTATGACCTTACACAATTTTGAAATTATGTGGTCCAACTCAAAACAACCAACGTTTCTTAAGGCAGTTTGTGCGATGGTTGGAATTTATAAAAATATTCGACTTCAGGTTTTACAAGAATGACCCCTCTGCGTTGTTCAATTTTAAACCCAAATATTTTCACAAATTCCAACCATCACAAAAACTCCCTCAAGAAACGTTACTTCTACTTATTGTTATGGACCACTCAATTTCAAAATTTCAACCAAACTCACACCTTCTCATTGTTAGAAATTGCTTGTATTTAATTTTAACAAATATTGTGGGAAGACAGACAAATATTTTAAAAATATTAGTGTCAATGTTGATCACTGTTTTTCTTCGCTTTGTGAAATATGCTTACTACGAAGGGTACATTGGATGTTACGTGCTACCTTTTTATTGTTGATGCTGCCAGTGAACACGAATTCAATCTGTTTCATATCTCACAAAGCATGAATTATCCAGGTGTTGAACTCAACGAGGTTGTATTTAGGGTCACACCATGTGTCTCATCCTTCATTCATGTATCCAACGTATATCTAATATCGTGTGTCCCCCGTCCCATCACCCGTCATATCCTTCACATACTATTAGTATGGGGCCGTACATAAAACATGATCGATTTTCGGGAAATTATGACCCCCACCCCCGGAGGTGCCTTTTACACCCCATAATACAATTAACATGGGAAGGGCAAGATGTCTTGACCACTAGATATCCCCACTCATAAGCTTTTTCCCCAGTTCAAACGGGAGACTCGAAAATATGCATTATTACGTATATATACACTCCGGTCGGTGATGATTCAATACAATTGAGGGTATATAGGGATTCGAGCAAGGGCGTCAAATGTTCAGGCCAGTTACACCAGAGCTCGACAGATATTTTTATTAGGTCTGAAGTCTGAAATAATTCACTTGAAATTCTTCAATTCTTAAGATGACAATAAGGGAAATACACACAATAACTCTCAAAGTTAACATAAAAATTTATAAGTGTAACCATGTATGTAATTATATGATATCAAACAAAACTTGAAGGAGAAGACGTATATGAACATGAATTTTAGTTTAAAAATATATTTTTGCCTGATGAAGAAATTCTGTATGAATATCGAAAGCTTGCAACAATAAATATTTCAAGTTAAAATGTCCTCTGATATTGATGTAATCGATCAATAAATATGGGAATTCACTATGTACTTATTTAGTAGATCATTAGAAAATATACAAAGTTCATACATAAGTTCGCAAAAAAATACAGGTACATACGACATGCATTGTCCAACTTCCAAGGCTAGCATCCAATTCACTATTTTTCAACATAACATTACTATTCTTATGTGATACGAACATAACCAAACCCTTAATAAATGCTCCCACAATTTACATTTTTTCAAGTTCAGTATACATACACAGCTCAATAGTTCACCCCAAATATTTATTTGTTGAAAGCTTTGTAAAGCAAAATCATAACTGAAAATTGAGTAAGTAGTCCGTAAGTTTACTTAAGTCTGGGTCACCATGGGCTAGATAAGTAGAGCTGGTTTCCGAACCTTCATTTCAACCCTCTTTAAGGAGTAGTTGTTACCCTTCCAGTGGATCCAGGTCAATCCTATCCCAGATTTCCCTACTGTGCTCGAATTTTGATAGATGGAGTTCAGGTCGGCCTACATTAAGGAGCAACAAGCAATTTTGGTGAAGCAATTGGCACTGGCTTAACTGGTATCCACGTACATTCGAGCATTTCCGGTACCACCAGCCACTCCGGTAAAACCCGGCGCAAGTACTGTTTTCGGATTTATCGTTGTCATTGTCAATCGTACTGAACTGTTGTCCATCATGGGAACTGAATGAATCGCCTGCAAAATACAGAACAAAAGTCAGTGATAATTATGCTAACTTATTTATACATATGAGCATAATATTAATGCATAAAATATAGCATTTAAGGATGGGACGTTTATGTATATTTGAGTGCTTACGGAATGTATGTAAGGGTTCCCCTGAACATAAAGCATTTTATGCATACAGTGTATCAAACAATTGAGTACACGGTACAGCGCCTCTTCACTCAGCATGGAATAAATTATTTGTTTTTGAAAGTTTGACAATGAAATATGCATATGTTATCCAGAATTTAATGCCGAATCTAAATTTCGTTGCAAATTTCATGCCAACCAATTATTTCAGCGTGGATTTTGAGATTTGGCCGGGAAAAATAAAACCCCACATCAAAAAATTGAGTGTACGGTGCAACTTTAATTTAAAGATTTTCAGTTTCTTGACCTCCAGGCTTGAATAAGTTAAAATTGTAATTAATTACAGTTTATTATAGCTAATAAAAGAACTTTCACTACGTATTTCAATAATCTAGATGACAGGCCTTCGCGAAAATGGCTAGTCGTTAGCTTTGTCAATTTGAATGAAAAAACTATTTCTCTTCCTCGGCAAATACTTTGCCATGATAAGATTAGTGAAAAATCAAAGAATGATAAGTCGTACAATACCAAAATTATCACCAAATTGAAGGGCACTCGCTAGGTGGTACATTGTACAGGAATAGGTCAAAAAAGTAAAATCGTCTCTCGTGTGTAGCGACGAATCATCAAATAGGTGATTTTAAGCAGTGGGATATCTGCGCCAAAAACTTCGGCAGAAGTTAAACAAGAGTTAGGCCTTTCCATTAATCCACAAACCGTGAGGGATAGCTTGCCAGAAAAAATTTTTAATACCCTAGTGAATAGGAAGAAACCCTCGTTTCAAAGCGTAATCAACGTCGATGCCTGAAATGGGCTAGAAATCACAGCGCATGGACAATTAACGATTGGAAACATGTCCTGTGGACCGAGGAAAGCTGGTGCAAGATGTTTGGAGCAGATTGAGTTGTTCATGCGTTGAAAAAGATGAATAAAGCACTAAATCCGGAATGCATCCATAAGGCAGCAAAACATGTAGGTGGTTCCATAATGGCTTAGGGTCCTTGGCGTGGAACATTGTTGGAAAATTGCACTTTGTCGACGGAATTATGACTCAGGAGGTCATTCTGGACATTTTAAAAGAAAATCTGATCTCATCCCCTAAAAACCTGAGAATTGGGGGTGATTACTATTCAAAAAAACTCGGACCCCAAACATATGCGAAGATGGGGGCCAAGTGGTTTCAAGAGAAGAAGATTAAAATGCTTCCCTTGGCAGCTCAGTTACCGAACTTAATTCCCAATTAACATTTGTGGTCCGAACTCGAACATAAAATTTCCAATAGGACTTTATCTACCAACTATAACTTGAAGACCATTATTCCAAGAGCATGGGAGGATATATACCCAGATTTGACAAAAAAGTTGTCGGAATTCATGCCCAGACGAATTTAAGGTGTTATTGAAGCTAAATGTGGCTAAACACCCTATTAGGTTAAAGTTGTTAATTATAAAACACATAAATATCCTACCGTGTACTCATTTTTTTGACTTCATATTTACACATTTTTGGGTTGTCAATTTATTTCTGGACAAACGGACTGATATATCGAAAAATGCTTTTCAGAATTGGATTCAGCATTAAATTTGCCATTATATAGTAACCTTTCTGTATATTACTAATTGATGTGGAGAAAATTGTTAACAGTTAAATGAGGAGCCGTTGTACCGTGTACTCAATTGTTTGATACACTGTAAGTGAATATTTTTTTACTTCAAATTTTGATGTACAAAAACTAATCACGTGGACTGCCAATTGTACATCGTTTTTTAACACTAAAATTTTGAAAAACAGCCATTATTGCAAATATTACTGTTTTTGTTAGCATATATAAATACATGTTAAGCGAAGGATACTTAGTTTCAACGTGACGGTAGGCGCCTTAAGTATGAAAGGTTATGAATTTTGCCTAAGTTGAAAGAAATTTTAGCCTAAATATCGAGAATGCATGTCTTGAATATGATAGGTAATGAATTTCAACCCAGGTCACCTGGGTTGAAATTAACGTCGAAACTTGCTTTATATTGCATTTTGTTGGGTATGAAAATTACAAACAAAAACCGAGACATTCACTTCATTTGAAAATATTTCACCTGAAATTCTTTATTAATTTTCAAGATGATCATAAGGGTATTTTACGAGTTCGCATCATTAGAAAATAATCAAAGGTCATCAGTTCGCCAAAAAATGTTGATTTAATTGCGTATCTTCTAACCCTATCGTTGAGTTCTCAATGCTTTTCAAAATTATGTCGCACTGCGAGCATATAAACTTCTAAAGAATACCCCAAATATTAACACGTTGTAAAATAACAAAAAGTTGAAAATATTTTCAAAATTTACAAAATTCTTTCTAATCCGGCAAAAGTACATATGGCTGAAATATTAGCTTTTTGAAAAATTTAAACAGTCCATTTTTTGATCTTTTTCGAAAAATATTGTGTTAAAATGTTGTTTGCTTCTACATTAAGTTGTTTATAGTCAAATCATCATGGTGGTAATGAGCTTAGATAAGTCGGGCTGGCTTGCGGATCTTCATTTCAACCCTTTTTAAGGACCAGCTATGACCCCAGTGGATCCACACTATGCCTACCGCAGTTTTTTTCGTGGCACTCGGAATAAAATATATGGAGTTCAGGTCGGCCTTTAAGGAGCAAAAATAAATTTCGGTGCACAATTTCCACGGATTAATCGATATTTACGTTTACACGTACGTGTGAGCATTTCCCATACCACCAACCACTGCGGTACGTCGCGGCACAATTAGTGTTTTCGGATTTATCGTTGTCATTGTCAATTGTGCTGAATGGTTGTTCATTATGTGCACATAATGAATCACTTGCAATACATATTAGTATTCAGATGGAATATCTGTGTATCAAACGTATTTATTCACATTTTTCGCAGTCAAATACATAGCAATGCAAGAAAGCAAGTGTTTATATATTTGCGTCAATAGTCCAACCAATAGAAGGATCAAGCATTCGTACGTGAAAAGATGGTTTCGCCTAAACGTTAAGAATTGAATGTCATGCATCTATACATGTGACAATTTATGAAAATAATAGGCGTAATCGATCATCAATTTGTTTACAGGCTTTAAACTGCCTTCTGATATGTCCGGAAATCAAAATTTGCGAAATTTTCATTAGTAGATCTGGAATAATTCATCTGAAATTATTTATTAATTCTCAAGAAGACAATGCGGTCTTATGGCTACAAAATAACCAAGGGCATAATTTCGCAAAAAATTCATCTTGCAACCTTAATCTAGTAATTTTTTTCAAATCATTTTGCGATGCTAGCATCAATAAATACCCCCACAATTTACAATTTTTCATCTCCAAAATTTATGAATATTCATTGACCTTTGAAGGTACACCTAATATATTTATTTCTTGAAAGCTTCGTACAGCAAAACATAAATATAAAGTTTAATACATATTCCCTCTACGAGCGTTCCACATACTTCTCTAGAAAGTACGAAATTTTTTATAAAGTAGCTTCCTTGTAACCTGGCCACAACGAGTCAGAAAAGTCGGACCGGCTTTCGAATTTTCATTTCAACCTTCATTAAGGAGTAGTTGGAACCCTTCCAGTGGTTCCAGACCAATCCTAACCCGGATTTTTCCACGGTACTCGAATTATGATATATGGAGTTCAGATCGGCCTACAAAGATACATAAATGACTTTTGCCAAGTAATTTGCTAATGATTTAATTGGTGTTAAAGAGTACCATGCTACACACTTTATACCACCAGGCACTGCGGTACAAGACGGCACAGCTACTGTTAACGGATTTATCGTTGTCATTATCGATTGTGCTAAACTGTTGTCCATTATGGTAATCTAATGAATTGCCTGCAAAACACAATGGAAGCTAGGTCAGAAGTCTAATTTAAGGATATCAGTAGCGTGTGTTGGGGGAGATTTACATATGTTAAAGATTAACAATACGTTTACAATAAATCATTATAAAAAGGCACCTGTACATATTTATATGCATTATCTGGTGTCGTAGGAGAAATAAGGTTTATCCTAAGCATCGAGGATTTTATAAATGAATAGGTTTTTGCTTAATCTTGTTTTGTCCCAAAACTTTCCTGACAAATTCACGCTGCTAATTTTCTGACACTAGCAAAGTCAAACATTATGGCATATGTTGGCCTATTTCAGCATCCCTTGGAGACCAAAAATTTGAAAGCTCATGAATTAACACATGCAAGGATGATTTCATCAAATTTCCTAGAGAGTGTAATGCAGCTCAGGTGACAGGTGATGAATGTTGTTAAAATGTATGCTTCGCTTCAAAATTAACCTTGACACTGGCTTTTGAAAAACATTCTGTTAGGTACGAGATAATTCGCCTGTAATTCTGTATGTAACTCTACGAAGACAATACCTACTCATTACGTGTTCACATCTTTAGAGACGTTAGACAACAAATAAAATTTCAAATTTTCGCAAAAAAATTGGCCCGAAAATTAATTTGCGAACTTTCCACATCTCCAAGAGTCGTATCTTGTTCACAAAATTTTTAAAATCAAAATCAAGTTTATTCAAAAGTCTTCCCAGATCATTCCACAAGTTTACATTTCGCGGAAGTATGAATGTTTTGTTTGATTAAGTTCTTTGTAATGTGTTCGCATTGAATTAGATAAGTCGAACTGGTTTGCGAATCTTCATTTCAACCTTTTTTAAGGAATACTTGAGATCCTTCCAAACGGATCAGATCACCCCTACCCCTGGTTTCTCTACTGCACTCGAGTTGTTATATATGGAGTTCAGGGCGGCCTACAAATAGTATTAGTAATTTCAGGTGCTGATACTGGCACTGTATAATGTATGTTAGCTATGAATCACACCTTGTGGCAGGTTTGATACCACCAGCCACCCTTGTATATTGCGGCGCAACTTTTGTTTACGGATTTATCGTTATCATTGTCAATTGTGGTGAACTGTTGCCCATTATGGTAATCTAATGCATCCCCTGAAAAATAAGCAATGGAAAGCAGATGTAATTGTGGTGTTGGAGTGTGTGCCCCTTCTTTGAATTACGACCAACGTCTTCAAAATTACATGTTCTTCCTGGCTCTACGTAATTAGTTTGTAATGGTTTGTGCATTAATTCATTTCATATGGACCACACATTGACTGGACTGATTGCAGATTGGATACTTTTTATTGCAAAAACCAATAAGCTAAAATATTTCAGGCCTGAAATCACTCACCAGCAGTTCCAGTGTATCCGGCTACTGTTAGGTTGTACTTCTCAGTGGAATTCGCGACTTTAAAAACGTCGTACATCGCGTACGCTTTTGTCCTATTCCAGTCCTCGAGATCCACCCGAAGCTGTGTAAATCCTTCTTCCGTAAGACTATTAATGGTTTTCAACCCTACATTAGTTCGCATATTAACTCTATATAATGTAAGCTACGGGATTTTTTATAATTATGAAATTTATGCAAGATCTAACCTAGCCAGAAGTCTCCGCTAAGGCTGCCAAAACCATTTTCATACACTTCCCAAATTCTTTCAAAATTAGTTCTCTCTTTCCCTGGCGGTGTGGGTGTACCCCGTCTTTGAATTATTACCCACTCCTTGTCACAGATTACCTGGATATGTTTTTGTTTGTAACTAAGTAATTAAAATTAAAATTTACCACAACATGTACTAATGAAATTATGTACTTGTTGATTACGAAACGTTGAATCAGAGAGACTGGAGTCGTCACTGCAGGACTTTATCTTGTAAAAGTCCGGGAAGGACTGTTAAAAATTTAGGTTTTAGATTACGAAATGTGTGTACTAACAATTAACAAACTTTACTCAAATATGGTTAAGCTCTTTACTCTCGTACATTGTTGATGTAGTACTTCAAACTGTCCACTTCAGTTATTATGTTAGCAACGCCTTGAGACACATTTGCACCTGCATTCCGAATCTCTTCCAAAGCTACAATCTGGTCACTCTGCACGTTCAGAAGTAGCTCCACAAATTTGCAGGTTTCATTATAAGCAGACTGTAAGGTGTAAAAAATAGTTTAATCATACATATGCTACATTCCAATGCAAAACTATATCGTATTGACGTCAATCTTTTGCAGCATGTGACGTCACATGCAAAAATGACGTCACATGCATCAGATGGAAGTTTCCTATACCACAAAATTTCAGACCCAACAACGAATTAACCTTATTACAATCACCACTTAAGCCTGTCTAGCTTACAATATTTAGTTAGCTGAGTTATCTTAAATATATTTGCGCCCGATTATATACAAATTTTGTATATGTATGACCAACGTGTGCCAATAAAAAATCCGTACCTTTCGCACTTGTGATGCTAATATGCCCAATCGGTAGTCGGAGGCCACAGCGTCAAGAGTCTGAAATTTAAAAAAATAACTTTATTTCAGTTCGATGATTAATACACAAGCACTTAGCCGAAATAAAAGTATACAATTTTATTAATGTGAGTGAAGTGATTACGCACATCTGTTGACCTTCGGGTTCTTCCCTTCTTCAATTTTTCTCTGTGATCCACATCCATACGCAACTCTTCGAATACTTCCAGATTTCTAACACCAATTTGCAAACCTTCCAATTTTTCGTTGATGCTAGCTTCCATGTTTTTAACACTAATTTTCAGGTCTTCCAATTTCTTTGTGAATCTTGCTTCCATAGCTCCAATCTCGGCAGTGAGGTCATCCTTCGTTGGAATGTTTGACAACTGCGTGGTCAACTTGACAAGAAATGAAATTATTTTCTTCAGTACATAAAATTCAGAAATATTTTTGTAAAAACTATGCTGAAAACGATTTTTTCTCACTCGTTCAAAAACATCATTCACATTCCTTCTAAATGACTCTTCGTCATGTGGATCCGCTCCTTTAACCTGAAATAATAAAACACCTATCCAGATAAAGCGATCTTGAAGGAACGCTTGTTGAACTACATAAAATCGCGTGATTGTTGTGAAAAAATGAAAAACCGACAGCTTAAAATTCAAGTATTATTTGATATTTAAAGTACACTTAAAATTTATGTTTGTCTTGTAATTCTGTACTTAAAAAAATGAGACACATTACGAATTTGTTTATTCGACTTACTAATTTATAAAATTGTATCCAACCTCCTAAAAATATTAGGAGGAAAAAATATAACGTGTTATTCATCACTGCGAAATTTGCACTGTCCACCAAGATAATATACTTGCTGTCTTTAATACGTATGTAATTTCTACGAAATCTGGCTTAATCCTTACTTGGAAATGGTGTGTGGGTTCAATATGTTGGTAGATTAAGCTGCCCTGCACACTAAATAATGGGGAGCAAATTCACTAATAATTTTGGCAGGAATAAATCACGTCATACACTTACATTTTAGATAGGTAAGTATTACAAATCGCGTTTGGGGGCAATTCACTTGGCAAATTGGCTTAGCAAAATATTTAGGGTGTACTCTTAAAAAAATCAATAACCGTTGGTATTGATATGTGACTCTACCGCGTGGTATTGATCCGGTATTGAATCAATACTACGTGGTAAAAACTTTAATACCAATTAGTATTAAAATCATTACCATGAGGTATAATTTCAATACCGGTTCTATACCAATATGGTATAACTGTTTAATACCAAGGCGGTAGAGTCACGTATCAATACCGCTAGGTTTTTTCAATACTAAGTTTCTAAGAGTGTGGATACATACCACAAGATTGATGTATAATTATTTATGGAGATTTATCCCGTGTACAATTCACATACACATCTGGGAAGACGAATCTGCTCTTCTTAATACATGCTTAAGAAGGATTACTGCGAAATAAGTAAAAAAGGATCAAAGTTCTTGCCCACTTTGAAGTTCTAACAGAAACATACTCGTCTGCATGGATGATACTTACTTACTACATACGTACATACGTAGTATTTGTGAAGATGAGTATGAATGTAAATATAATTATAAATTGTTTCCATACTCAGGATTATCATGATAAATAATTAACAAGCAAATTTTTTGCATGAATGCAAAAAATATGCGCATGTTAATAACGTACAAGTGTTCGGTGTACCCATATTTACATATCTGCAAAATCAATACATGTGCATGTGTAGAATTGAATAATAATTCGCTACATATTTACATATATGTATGTACACATATGTAGCTGTGCGTTATTATTTATTTGCTAAATAAATAAAATAAGTACTGTTTCATATGATTTTAACCATACTTACTTTCTATTTTATTATTTAGCAGTATATGTATGCATGTAAACATGCTAGTGCTTTTGGACTTCAAACTAATAGAAACTAGTACTTAAAATATATGCTACTAATAAATACAGGAAGAAAAAAATAATCGTGTTGACAGTTACATTGTACAAAGTAACCTAAATTAATTGACCCTTTAAATTCAGATTACACATGTAATGTAGCATTTTACTATAAAGATGTCTCACTAGATTGCTCAGTAACATGCTCGACTCACACCTAAATTAAAACATGTGTGCCGCACTCTCAATCAAATCCTGCGGAACTGTGAGCAACAAATTAATCGTGTGCGTCACCATAACCACGAAATACGTCATTTTCGTACTTCTCTTATAAATCAGAAACTTATGCCCCGCCAGGATCGGGGATAAGGTCAGCACTTTAAGCGATCTAAGCTCCTTCCTCGTCTTCTTCACGCCCTCTTTCGGCTGCGAAATCGTATAGTAATCCAAATTCCGCAACAGCTTATCCGAGTAATCGGGCACATTGTGCAAATAGTTGAACATGACATTCGCAAGAATCAGTATCATAATCGCAATACAGGGAAATATGACGTACAACCAGACGGGCAGGGTCCCGTAAAATTTCAAGCTTACAAAATTACTCAGAATACCATTCGCTAATCCTAAACCTTGCGAAATCAGGCAAATAAAGCCGATCAGCGATTCCATACTAATTAGCACGATTTGCACGTGGCGATACCGCGATTCTACCGGATTCCCGCTCATTCGCGAGACCATGACGCTGAAGGGGCTTGCGTGCTGCTGGATTAGGAGAACCAGTGAAGACCGCAACATTTGAAACGTGCTAATGGAAACGGTGATCGTAAACGCGAGGAATCTGCACAGTTCGGCGGGTGCGGTGCAGATAAGGTAGAATCTGAAGATATGAGCGGGAAGATAAGTTATTTTAAGCATGGATAAGATGTGGTAGTATGGATCCAACCGGAAGAAAATGGCTGACAAAGAGAAGATGGAGGGATACGTGGTCAAGGCCCAGATGAAGAGGGTCATCGTAATCCAGAGATAGTTTCGATGAGGTGTGAAAGAGTCACGATGGTCAAAACCTGTATAAAAAGTTTGTCAAGTTTAAGACAAGACTCGACAAGACACCACTAAAATCGTAGAAGTAGCAAAATCATAGCTCGCCTTTGGGAATTTATTTTAAAATTCTGGACGACCAATTCGTACTTAACAAGTTGATTGATAGAACGGCACCGAATTTTTAAGCCAATTTCGACAAATTCTAATTGTTCTCAAGGCTTATTCAATTTCTGACCTCGTCCTTCTAAAACTGTCGAAATCTGAATGTATCAAAAAATTTGCTACGACAAGCTTTACAAGTTTGTCGTGCAGAATTTAAAAATAAATTCCCAGAGCCGACAAGTGATTAAAAATCAGGGTTGGCCAAAATACTATTTGAAATACAAAATACAAATTACAAAATACAAAATACTATTTTGTATTTTGAGGCCCATGGTTCAGATCAAAGTATTTTGCATTTTGTATTTTGAAACTAGCCGGGTATTTTGTATTTTGCATTTTTAGGTTTCGACGATTTTGGGCAAAAGTATTTTGTATTTTGATAAGATTCGAGTATTTTGTATTTTGTAATTGTATTTTGAAGGTTCACACTAATGTATTTTCATTTTGTATTTTGAAACTCATATATTTTGCCCAACCCTGTTAAAAATGTGCAAACGTTGCCCAATAATTATCCTTTTCTATATATGTCCATTCAAATTATATTCGCCATCAGTAATTCATATTTAATCCTAAATATGAAGATTACCTTGGTTTTGCAAATTTCCTTCCATCCTAACCAAAGTATTCCACCCCTTGACAAAATCCGCTCCGTACAAAATGAGTCCCACATTTATCGCGAACCCGGCAAAAGCTGTGGAAAACTGGCCAACAAAGAGGAATAAAAACGCGAGAGGGAGCTGCTTATAAAATGTGAACATTTGCGACAAAAATATGACCACTACTCCACCCGCAGTGCAAATTCCGAGACCAACAAAGGTGTGGAAGCACCACAAGTAATATTTGAATCCTCCCGCCCGATATTCGAATCTTTTCTTCTTAGCGGACCACTTAACGGGGGGCGACGTGAAATGCTGCATCCATCGAGAGTACTTCTTAAAAGTGTCGAACATGGCGGTTTGATCCATTCTACGTTTTTTGGCTGTCGAGAATGTTACGCTTATGTTTAAAGAAGTCTGTTTTAAGTGGAGTAGAGTCGGTTATTCCACTTTCGGATTAAGTATTCGTCCTAACCGAGTCCGAATCATTCAGTTCTAACAGATGTTGTTTTTAACTAAAAAACTAGGATTCAGCTCGGTTGCACTGTTTCAGTTCAGTTTCCACCGATCATGAATTCAATTAGTATGTATCAAATTTGCAAATAACCCGATCTCCCAATGCGCAAAGTTGCCCGAAAAATATTGGAATTTAACGTGAAGACTGACGACGTTTCTTATGCAAATATCTCCGGCAAACCTGAGCGTTTAAAAATCGTGCCGTTTGCGAATTTCCTGTAGATTTCTGATCTATTGAAACTCGTATGAATAAATCTGTGAGTATACGTTGTACATAACTTGGACAGCGATGTATGTAGGATTTTATCCAACTCGGCACTAAAAATAAGCCGAATGGCCAATTCAAACTGATGAATTCAAATCCAATTTCATCGATAAACTTTACATATGATTTTAATTTCCTCTCGTTCCTTGCTAAAAATCTAGGGAATATTGGATTAAAGGGTTTAAAATTGAAAAAAACTGACGTGGAATATGTATCGACAATTTGCCAAATTAAATTACCATATTGAAATAAGCGTATTAAATATTTAGCACAATTAAGTTACCACTAGGTTCGCTCTTCCCTAAAACGTAGGTTTTTTTTTGAAGGATTATCGATTCTGACTGCCAAAGTTCATTGGTTTACTCTATATATGGACTGGTCACTGAATGAAAGTGTCAAGTAATCTTTACCTCCCAAAAATGAATGCATGAATCAAATTTAATGAAACTTTTGTGCAATACTAACGATGACCAGACCGAGGTTTTCCGATACTTCATTGGTCCAAGTACACCTTCACTACCGGTGGAGAGAACACTTTGTCACACACCTCTCATGAGCGCTTCGCCACTCGTTTCATCAACTTCTATGATGACCTTCTCCATAACCCGCAGAAATTTTTTGAAATTATGTGGTGTCCTTTTTTTCTGAGTATATTGTTTCTCAATTAATGCCCAAAATCTTTCAATGGGTGGACGCTGAGGTACGTTTGGAGCGTTGCCTTTTTTCTCGACGAATTCAGTTTTTTCCCTCGATGGTACCCTGACACTATTTTGGCATTCTACAACGTACCCATGTCAAACCAAAATAAAACACGTTTTTTTCTGATAGAGGGGATCAGTCTTTCGACGACATATTCCTTGAAATAATGGGCAAAGTTTATATTCTTCGTGGAAGCGAGTGGATTTGAGACGTTCCCATTTTTGTCCATCGCCAGCCATTTTATGGATTTCATTGGAAATTTTGCTTGGTTTTGAATTTATAATTCGAACAAACGTCATTTTTACTTCTATATGAGTAGAACTTTACACGATTGATGCTTCGAGGTCTACGGGACAGTAGTTTTCATCGTCCATGACGACAAACTTCTTACAATCGATTTTAACATTTTCTCAACAAGTTTTCGACAATTTATTTTAGTTCTGCCATTTTTATCTTCTGTGTATTTTGGTGCGGTTTTAGTGTTGTAATTTTTGAAGTCCATCTTAGTGGCTTTGATCTTGTAGAGATAGGTTTTTGAAATTTTTAGTTGTCTAGGTGCAACCCTCAGGGATCTGTTGCGGTTTTCTGTAAAAGTTTTTCCACGTTTTTCGTTAGGGTTTTGGTCTGCTGGAGGACAGGTAGAGAAGGCAAAATTTTATATTTTGCATTTTCGCGATCCTTATATCTGTAGAGTGTATGATTAATTTTGTCCGGTGCATCCCTTCACGGATAAAGTGGTTACGATCCTTTTGCCGA